AAAGATTTAAAAATTTATTTTATGAATACTTTTTTCATAAATATATACAATTGTGACGAGGACAATTGTAATTTAGTGTAAATTTTTTTTATCAGGATAAGTATGTTATAATTTCAAAGTTAACCTCGCACAACGTAAGCTGCCTGAGTCACTAGTTAATTTTAGAATCTAAAGAAACGAAGAAAAATGCAGCAACATCTTTTACACATTTATTGAATTTCTGTATAATTATCTCATGACTTTAATTGATTTTTGTTTACTTTATTATTATAAAAAGTGTGTGTGTGTGTTTGTGTGTGTGTCAATTAAATTTTATTCCCATATATATTACATACTTTGTTATAAGTAGACAATACATATATAATAAAATTGAATTATATATACAGCTTTCAAGTATATATTACACAATTACATATATATTACACGTATATTAGATCTTAAATTTTCATAGAAAATAAAAAATGATATTAATGCGAACTTGTTAGTTAAAGAATCAGGATGTTATTAATCGTGAATAATAACTTGATCTAATGTTTCACTGCGATAAATCGGAACCGGGAGAAATATTTTCCATTTGTTCTTGCAAAGGATTAAATTTATCACATTGTGTATATATCGATAAAATTGAAAAAAATTCTGCTTTTATTTTTAATAAAGGAGAATATCATTTATTAATATTTATTGTTTTTATAAAAGTTGAAATTTATCTACAAGGTAAAGATAAAATAAAAATCCTGATTCTTCTATTTACATATTTATATTTTCTTTTCCTTAAAAAAAAGGAAATAACGCATTTTTGTGAAAAGCGAGATTGAAATGCTAAATTTAGTAATAAAATTGTTTAAATAAAAAAAAACTTTAAATTTTTTGCGGTTGGTTCTTCAAAATTTAAATTTAATGACTCATTTGTAGCATTATTATCACCGATTTAATTAGCAATATTTGCAATTATTTCCTCGAATTTGATATATTTCGATTTAACGTAAGCTCAAAAAGGAAAATCAAATTTAACTATTCATTTCCGTTTATACATTTGACATGGATATAATTACATCAGCAGAATTTCGATACGTTGACTATGTTGGTTATGTGTCGTTATCGTATGTGCTATATATCCATCTTGCGTCAGGTACCATAATGCGTACTCAAATACTTTACCGGATTAAACTGATATCGACAAGTGTGTCATTGGCTAAAACTGCATCGATTATGTACGGGTAACTGGTAAATCCTTTTTTTTCTGTTACTTCGACTAAGTTTTTTTTATGTAGTTTTTCAGATATTAATCTTTGTGGAGACCAATCAGTAAAATAAAAGATTGTTGTTTTATTTCTAACAATTTAATTATATATAATTAACCTCAATGTCATAATTACATTATGTATAATTACATTATACATAACTTCCGCATTTTGTGAGAATATCAGATATTATTGAGAATGGTGTATGTGTATTTTATTGTTCCTATACTGTACTCGAAATACGATAGTATCGAATAATTGTCGTTTGTAAATTTAAGTTAACAAAGCTTGTTAAGAATTTGTTAAAAGGTATGTAATACAATATTTATTAAATTGGTAAATTATTACAACAGTCTTATACCATAATAAAAAAAAGTTTATGCCAAAATATTTAAAAAACAATAAAATATTATAAAGTTGATATATATATTTTTAAAGAAAACATAATCTGTTGTAGAAATTTAATATTGAA